TGTTGGACAGCGTGGAACTGGGTGAAACGGCCCACAAGAAAACTGGAACAACAGTGCCTGAATCTATCCATTCCTTCAGTAAGTCAGAGGGCCTATTTTTTTCCTCTTCGGGCTCCAGACATTTTTTTTTTTTACAGCTTGATGCCTCTAAAATGAATGTTCTGCTTCAAAATGTACAACACGAAACTTTTAATAATAAGATGAGTGATCACATTCATAAGCGGTTCAGTTACTCCTTTATAAAGTTGTTCTCCGTGAAGGACCTTCACAACGTTTCATGGTGGCAGGTTCCTCATTCCATCTTTGCATATAAAAGTATCTTATTCTGTCCTCAATTTACCGTTCCAGTTCCTGTGAGGTAAACTGAAGTTGTGAGAAGAAACAATGTTGTTGTGGTTACAATCACAAAACCCCCTCCCCATCCCCTTTGGCCTACGATTCAAAAGCCTCAAGGACCCCCAATCTTGTCTTTCAAAGAAAATTCTCTGGTTCCTTTTTGCTTTGTTAATATACAAGGTTGGGCTGTTCAGAACTAGACGGAGGAGCCTGTAATGGATAGGATCATTTCCAGAGGTAGTATTCAGCCGGTTCGGGCAAATTGGTAGCAGAGATCATGGTTGGGCCTTCCCACCCGCCCTGGCTCTATACTGTCCTATTTAGGCACGGTTTTGAGGCCGGGCGCATGCACAGAAGACATGCGCGCGTGCAAAACACATGCGTGGAACACGGCGCAGGCGCAGAAGGTGTGGGCGCCCGGCGAACCAGTAGCAACAAAATGTGAAACCCGCCACTGATCATTTCCCCCTTTAATCAGAATCCAGAAAATGACTTTTAAGGAGTCTAGTCAGAATGCAGAGTATTTTTCACAGTATAAGACGCACCTTTTTCCCCCCAAAAAAGAGGGTGAAAATCTGGGTGCGTCTTATACTCCGAATGTAGCCCCGCCCAGCTTCTCAAACGGAGGTTTCAGAGGGCTGAAAAAAAACATCAGAAACGAAGCTTCAGAAAAGAAGCCTCCCAACGGAGCTTCAGAAAAGAAGCCTCCCAACGGAGCTTCAGAAAAAAAGCCTCCAAACAGAGCTTCAGAGGCTTTTTTTTGTGAAGTTGTTTTGGAGGCTTTCAGAGGCAGAAAAGAAAGTTTTTTCTGAAACAGTGTTTCAGAAATTTCAGCGGCAGAAAAAAAAGCAAGGCACAGAGCTCACAACCAAGGAACCTGTTGCTAAAATTCAATGCTGGGAACAGCTGATTGGGGTATTCCGGGAGGCCTATCCACCCAAAAAATCAGCTTTTTTCTTATTTTCCTCCCCAAAAACTAAGGTGCATCTTATACTCCAAAAAATATGGTAACTACAGATGGTAACTACAAATACAAATTTAACAATGACTTACCTTTTTTTCTTTCTTTTTAGTTGGGGATGGCCTTGTGAAACCAGAAGCCCTAAACAAGAAAGCCATTCAGATTATCAACAGAGTCCGGGATAAACTCACAGGTGAGTAACCAACCTGTGTGCATCGGCTTGTATACAGGACCCTCCCTGTCACAAAGAATTTGAAATCTTTACCTATCGTCCAGGGGGATAATAGTGAAAAGTGGAGCAGAGTGTTGTGACCTAGGTGTTCCCAAACCACGAAGCAGACTCCTTATCCCGACAAAAATCCCTTTTTATTAAGTTACTGTGAATTCCTCTCATTCACACTCAGCAAAGTCTTTCAAGGGAGAATTTACAAGTCACAGACCTTATCTGGCTTGGAGAGCTGCCAGGCCGATATCTTCAAAACTTGGCCAGGAGTCTCGGAGAGTCACAAACCAATTAGGCGAATGAATTGTCTCCTGCAAACTCCACTCCCCTTTCGCTCCTCTTTTATTCCCTCCGGGAGGAGCCATTCATCGTCCACCTGTGGCTTTACTCCTGAGTCGACCCTTGTTCTTTAGCTGTTCCCTTCCTCTGGCAACTCTGCGCATGCGCACACTGGGAACAGGCTCCAGCTGTTCCTCTGCCTCACTGATGCCCGACTCCGAAGGCAGCTGACAACTATCAGACGGCCCTGGCCCTCTCTCTGCCTCCGACGCAGAGCCTCATCAGAGCCTTCCCCAGACTCCAGGACTGGCCCACGTTCCTCCCCAACCTCCTCACTGTCTGAGTCTGCTGCCAGCTCCGCTGAGAGAAGGCAGAAATAGTTGCATTTAGATGATGTAAAGATCAGAAGAGAAAATGAGGGAGCCAGTCAAGACTTGATGGCAAAGGTTGAATTCTAAGCCCTCAGATCCAGCAAGCGTGAAAAATCCTTCGTCCAGAAAACCTTGATGGAATAGTTCTATTGGTTAGTCTTTGTGTTGGTTACAATCCCTGTCTTGCCGAGAAAGCGCCATGTCCTCTAACCTCACCCCCCACTTGTTCTTCCTTGCCAAGGCCGAGATTTCTCCCACGACGAAACCCTGGACGTGGCCACCCAGGTGGAGCTGCTCATTAAGCAGGCCACTTCCCACGAGAACCTTTGCCAGTGCTACATCGGATGGTGAGTGTGTGTGTGTATGTGTGTGTGTGTGTGTGTGGGAAACGGGACTTTTCAGCCCAGCCTGGGAAAGGGCTTTGTGGCTGGTTCACTGAAGAGAACCGAATTGGCCACTGTTACGGATAGCATAAGACAGGGATGGCTAACCTTTTTGCAATCGTATGCCAGGAGCGGGGGGAGGAGGGGTAGTGGGCACACGTGCCCACACCCATAATTCTATGTGCCCCGCCCCAGTGCATGCACGTGTGACACACACCCTGTTCCCCCCCCCCGCTCCTGGTATGCGATGGCACAGTGGGCCCGGTAGGCCCATTTTTCTCTCCCCCCAGGCTCCAGAGCCTTTCTAGGAGCCTGGGGAGGGCAAAACTGGCCTTCCCCACCCCCCACCCCTGGAGGCCCTCTGGAGGCCAGAAATGACGCGTATGCCGACTTCCGGTCCCACCAGAGCTGAGCTCGCGTGCCCACCGATATGGCTACACGTGCCACCTGTGGCACGCGTGCCATAGGTTCGCCGTCATGGGCATAAGATCTCCAGCTCAAGCAGGAGGTTGGACTAGAAGACCTCCAAGGTCCCTTCCAACTCCGTCACTCCGTTTACAAGTAATCCTCGGCTCTTACGACCACAATGGAGCCCGAAGTGTCTGTGGTTAAAGTTGAGACATTTGTTCAAGTGAGCTTTGACCCGTTTTACGACCTGTCTTGCCACAGTTGTTAAAAGTGTGAATTGCTGCAGCGGATAAGTTGGTAGCCCTGGTGGTTAAGTGAATCCGGCTTCCCCCTGGACTTTTGCTCGTCAGTAGGGCGAAAGAAGAGATTGCCGCCTCTCGTTTGAGAGGAAGTTTCTAATCAGTCAGCCTTGCTGTGGAGTCTCTGTGTTCAAGCCATCTCTCTCATTTGTCATGTCATGTCATAAGAAGTCCCATGGTTCGTGACCTGGGGCACAAGGGAAGATATTTTACTTCTTTTTCACTGTTGGAGAGCCAAAAGCACTTTGAGTGCCAAAAAACCCTTGGAATTTTTTTTAAAAAATCTTTTCCTCATCTCGTATAGACTTCTAGTCTGCCTGCCTGCCTTCCGCTCCCTCCCTCCTTCCTTCCCTTTCTCTCTCTCTCTTTCCTTCCTTCCTTCTTTCCTTCCTTCACGGCTGCATCTCTCCTAGCCAAGCTTCATGAGCTGACAGTGGGATGATTGATCCTTTCCTTCTTTCCTTTCCTTTCCTTTCCTTTCCTTTCCTTTCCTTTCCTTTCCTTTTCCTTTCCTTTCCTTTCCTTTCCTCCTTTCCTTTCCTTTCCCTTCCCTTCTATTTTCCTTTCCTTTCCTTTCTTTTCTTTTCCTTCTATCTTCCTTTCCTTTCTTTTCCTTTCCCTTTCCTTTCCTTTCCTTTCCTTTCCTTTCCTTTCCTTTCCTTTCCTCCTTTCCTTTCCTTTCCCTTCCCTTCTATTTTCCTTTCCTTTCCTTTCTTTTCCTTTCTGTCCTTCTATCTTCCTTTCCTTTCTTTTCCTTTCCATTCCTTTCCTTTCCTTTCCTTCTTTCCTTTAACCTTCCCTTCTTATATTTTCCTTCCCTTCTTATATTTTCCTTTCCTTTCCTTTCCTTTCCTTTCCTTTCCTTTCCTTTCCTTTCCTTTCCTTTCCTTTCCTTTCCTTCTTTCCTTTAACCTTTTCTTCTTATATTTTCCTTCCCTTCTTATATTTTCCTTTCCTTTCCTTTCCTTTCCTTTCCTTTCCTTTCCTTTCCTTTCCTTTCCTTTCCTTTCCTTTCCTTTTCCTTTTCCTTTTCCTTTCCTTTCCCTTCCCTTCTTATATTTTCCTTTCCTTTCCTTTCCTTTCCTTTCCTTTCCTTTCCTTTCCTTTCCTTTCCTTTCCTCCCCTCCCCTCCCCTCCCCTCTCCTTTCCTTTCCCCACTTATTCCATTCCTTCCTCACAAATCCCCAGGGAAAGCTCAGTTGGACATCAAAAGTAAAGCTGTCCCAGTTCTGTAGGATCTCCCCGCCAGGTTGTTTTGACTGCTTGATGACTGCTCTCTTCTCCTCCAGGTGCCCTTTCTGGTAACCGAAGACCTGTGTCCAACCCTTTCCCTGGCTCCCTCTCTAGGCTCTGCTATCCCCATGGGACTCTTTCCCGGAAGCGATGGGGAGTAAAGATGGACTCCGGCTTGAGGGTGGAAGGAAAACAACTTTTTCTCAAAAGTTTGGGAGTTGTGGAGGAGGGGAAAAAACAAAAACAAAAGGAAAGCTTCTTTTACAAGACACAACTTCTAAAACACGGCTAGGTAATGTAGTCCAGCCATTTCTGAGCCCCAGATCACCTTGTTTCAGGTGTGGGGAAAATGAAGAATGCCTTACGAATCGGCCATTAGTTCACCTGACTGGCCAATACATAGGCCAGCCAGGCTGCGGTTGAAGTTTGTGAAGCCACAATTGGAAGCATGTTTTTTTAAGACTGCATGGAATGGCAATTGTTGTAGAAGCGATGAGCTGGCACGAATAGAGGCCTCGCAGAAGATTTTATTATCCAGGCTGTTGTCATAACAGCCCAGAAAATGAAGGGACAATAAAATACTTAACACTGAACGTTTACAACATTTGCAGAGACGGTGGAAGAAAATAGATCCGTTCGGAAGGAAAACAGAATTCAACCTCTGGTAGAATATCCATCCGCCCGTTTCCCTACTATTTTTGCTTGTGTTTTTGTGCACTTGGGGGGAAGGAGACCAAAATGTAATGGTGAGGCGTTCCAAAGCTTTGGAGGGCAGTGGTTTTCCCAACGCGAGCAAACTGCGCAAATCGTTTTTTTTTTGTGTGTGTGTGTTTTGATGCTTTGGGGTAAGCCTAATTATTTTTTTCCCCGTGCCCAATAAAAGTCCATCCTGTCGTACGGTCTGGATTCTGGATGTGCTTTTCTTTTAAAAACGCCTCTTGTTTCAGAGGGGAATGTGAAGGAGATAACGATCTCTGGGCCGCTTCACTTCGCTCCGGCTCCGTTTCCGGTACCGCTACTTGACTTTCAAACTTTTCTGGCAGGGAGGAAAAGGTATGCAAGAACGCACCTCTGTTTTTGTGTCTGCTCTTTTTCGTACGCGACTTAAAAGACGAGCAGAGAGCATTGGAACCTGGTCATCGGCAGGCACCCAATCTGCACTTCGGCGCCAGTGACCAGTGGATGTAATTCCCCCGGCAGGGACATTGGTTGAAGTGACAGTGTCTAATGTCTCGGCCGTGTCGGCGGTACATGGTCTTGTCTAGGGAAAACGGTCCGACGGTGACGCTCGTTTTGGTAATCCTCATTCTTTGGGATTTCCCCCTCTCTTTGGCCATCTTCAAGCACTTCATGAGTTTGGTGCCACAGCTCGACTGCTGCCAGTTGAAATGCAGGCCTTGGTGCTGGAAAAATATGTGACGGATTCCAGGAGGGATGTTGTGAAAAGCGTGTGAGACCTGCCGAAGAGAAGAGGAAGAGAAGAGAAGAGAAGAGAAGAGAAGGAGGGGAGAGGAAGGAGAAGGAGAGGAAAGAAGGAGAAGAGAGAAGGGGAGAGGAGAGAAGTAGGGGAGGGGAAAAGAGAAGAGAAGAAGGAGAGGAAGGAGAAGGGGAGGAGAGGAAAGGAAAGAAGGAGAAGAGGAAGAGAAGAGTAGGAGGGGAGGGGAGGGGAAAAGAGAGGAGAGAAGGAAAGGAAAGAGAAGGAGAAGGGGAGAGGAGAGAAGGAGGGGAGGGGAGGGGAAAAGAGAAGAGGAGGAAGGAGAAGGAGAGAAAGAGGAGAGAAGTAGGGGAGGGGAAAAGAGAAGAGGAGAAGGAAAGGAGAGGAAGGAGAAGGGGAGGAGAGGAAAGGAAAGAAGAAGAGGAAGAGAAGAGTAGGAGGGGAGGAGAGGGGAAAAGAGAGAAGAGAAGGAGAGGAAAGGAAAGAGAAGGAGAAGAGAGAAGGGGAGAGAAGAGAAGAGAAGAGAGGGAGCCAAGGTGAATTGGCTTTGAGACGAACCTCACCGCAGGGTGGGAAGGAGGACAGCCATTCCAGGAGATTCCCCTTCTCTTACCTGACGCCATTCATCACTGTATTCGGAGTCGTATTTGTATTTGTTCTCGGAGTCATACTCTCGGATGACCTTGAAATCCTCGGACAACAGCTTCACGCACAATTTGTAATGGCTGTTGAAGCTGCTGTAAAACCTATTGGGGTGGGGGGGAAAGCGAGAGAGACAAGGTTTGAACCCGGCACATCCTCGTCTCAGGATGGCCAGGCAAGCTTTGGCCAAGAGCTTTCTGGAGGAGAAGCAGCTTGGAGACAGAACAACACAACAGAGAGGAGCTCCGGTGCCAATTCTGACCAGCATTCCTGGTCTCCGAACCCTGCCATTTGACTTGGTTATGGAATAGCAACAGCACTTAAGACTTATATATCACTTCACGGTGCTTTTACAGCCCTCTCTAAGCGGTTTACAGAGTCAGCCTATTGCCCCCAAACAATCTGGGTCCTCATTTTGCCCACCTCGGAAGGATGGAAGGATGAGTCGACCTGCAGCCGGTCAGGATCAAACTGTTGGCATTGGGCAGAGTTAGCCTGCAATACTGCATTCTAACCACTGGGATGGAGGATGGATGGGAGGGGAGCAGAGAGTAGAGGCCGACGAGACGCCCCTTGACGTGAGTGACATTGAGTTGGCCACGCCCACCCAGTCACATGACCCACTTACCGACACCCACCCAGCCAGTCGTTAGGCAGATCATATTAGTGATCCGCGGGATTTAAAATTATGAATTTAGTGGTCCCTGAGCTCCGAAAGGTTGGGGACCCCGATCTAGAGCTCAACCTGGGTCTAGCAGTTTGTTGCCTTAGGAAGGTAACGCTTTTCAGGGCCTGCCTTGCAGTCCAGATCTAAGCAGGGAGGCTACCTCAAGCCCATATTTTTATAGTATCTCTCAAGACTTTTAACGTCCGGTTGCATACGTTTCCTGCTCCCCTTATAACCAGGAGCTGATGTTCTGGCCCTTACCAATCCTTCACCACAATTGTGGGCCTCCCATCATCCATCAGCTGGTCCCAGTAACCTTCATCCTTCAACGTGATGAGCTGAGATTTCGTGCAGAGCCTACCAGAGAAATTAACCACAAATTCAGAAACGCAATCCTGCACTTTCTGAAGGTTGGAGAGCCTCCGAAGCTGGGTCTAAGGAGACTTCGAATACATTGGAGCGGAGGGAACTGGGGGGGTCTAATTGGGCGAGACCGGTCTTTTTCAGTTCCTAAGCACCGAACAGGAGCAAAAGACACGGGAAATTATTTTCAACCGTAGCGTTTAATGAACTGAAAAAAATCAGAAGAAAGCACACAAGCCATTTGGGATAGAGCAGAATCCACACCTCCCGATTTAAATTAAATTAAATCAAATCCTCCTCCTCCGGCTCGGAAAACTATTTCTTGGTTGGGCTAATCTTAAAATCAAAATTCTGGCTCGACGGAATAAATCCATATCAAGCGAAACTCCCCTTTGTATCGTTTTGAGAGCAGGCAGATTAGCTTGCCTGCAGAACGCCGCGAATTCCCACGGGTCCGTTCCTTCCCCCCCCGGTCAATTAAATGTCAGAATAAACGTCACGATAATCGCTCACCCGTTGTACGCAGCAAAACATTTTTCAACTTCTTGGTAGGGTATCCATTCATCTTTGATATAAATATTCCTCTGAAGGAAGTCCCAGGCCTGCAGCTTTGCCGAGTCTTTTTCAAAAATATCTTTAACTTTCCACTGTCCGTTGGAAGGCGTGGCCGTATCCCAGAAGTCTAATCCTTCTGTGAAAAAAGCCACAGGAAGTCAAAGGAGAAGGATCGTGCCCCCTCCCTGCACATCTGTATTTCTCTTTAAATAGGATTTTCTTAAATGTTGCTGCTTTGTTGAATGAGTTGCGAATTTGACCTCCGAGGTTGAGTTTACAAAGGACACAATTTACGTTCGCCCTTCCTGCTAAATCGGATCCATACGGAGAAGAGCCAAAACAATCACAACGGTACAGCAGTTAGGCAGCTTTTGAGGAATCACCAGACAGACAGAATGAATCGGGCGAAATCCAGCAGGTTCTGGAGAACCGGTAGCAGAAATTTTGAGTAGTTCGGAGAACCGGTAGTGGAAATTTTGAGCAGTTCGGAGAACCGATAGCAGAAATTTTGAGTGGTTCGGAGAACCGGCAAATACCACTTCTGGCTGGCCCCAGAGTGGGGTGGGAATGGAGATTTTGCAATATCCTTCCCCCCCCCAGGAGTGGGGAGGGAATGGGGATTTTGCAGTATCCTTCCCCTGCCTCACCCACCAAGCCACACCCACAAAATGGTAGAAAAAAAAATTGGATTTCATCGCTGGAATGAATATTAACTTTATTATTTATACAAGGGTCTCTTAATTCATATCAGTTCCCAGGGCGATAGAAGACCCCGGCCAACATGTAAAAAGGCCTATCCTCAATGGTAAAAAGATCTATAATTTGTTATTAGCACGGCCGCTGCTTTTATTTAAAAGTTAATTTTTTCCCCCCGCAGCCCTACAGACTCAACTGTCAAGCTGTAGAAAGAGAGAGACAAAGAAGGAAAGATAAATCTATGGAGATTCTCAGTCATCCAGGTCACGTTTTTTTCAAGAGGCAACACGACTTCCTTGTTTTTTTTTTTCTTTGAAGACATTTCGCTCCTCATCCAAGAAGCTTCTTCAGCTCTGGCTGAATGGTGGGGGAAATGGAAGGATTTATACTCCTTGCAAACAGCTGGTTGTTAGAAGGGTATGACATCATCGTATCTCACAGTCCTTTCAGCCGTTCCAAGAAGCTCCCAGACCCACTTGCATCACTCGGGTGACGCTGAGGACGCAGGTAAAACCTCCCAAGTGGCCTCAATGACTCTCTATAAAAGAATGCCAATGACCGGCTGTCTGCAAGGAGTATCAATCCTTCCGTTCCCCACCATCCAGTCAGAGCTGAGGAAGCTTCTTGGGTGAGAAGCGAAACGCCTTCAAAGAAAAAAACCAGAAAGTCCAGTTGCCTGTTGCAAAAAAAAAAGCATCTTTGAAAGACAGTTACTCGGGCTTTTCGTCCACCAGGATGGCCTTTTGCTAGAGCAGACCTGCCATCCTCCGTTGGTCTTCGGAAGCTATCTCAGAACCCTCCCCAGGGTGGTTGTTGTAAACCCCCCCTGGTTGCAATTGGGACTCACCTTCGCCACAAGGGTTCTTGATTAAGTTCTTCTCCAAGTGGCAGAAAATGTAGAAGGTCTTCGGCATCTTCAGGTCGGCGTCCTCCTCTTGGTACTTGTGCTTCCACAGGAAAGGGGTGTCCAGGACATCTCGCCAACGGGAACAAACCAGCCGGCAGTTCCAGATCAGCTCGTTTATGGGGAGCAGGCGCAACACCGCCAGCAAAATGTCGTCCGGCAGGTCTTGAATGCTTGCCATGTTGGCCAAGGAGGACTAGAGACGGGTGGACACGGGAGGCGAGGAAACGCTTGAGTTGGGCCGGTGGAGAGCAGAACCCCACCTAGACGTGGTAGACAATCCCAACCATCAATCCCAATCAATTTTCAGTCCTATCAACACTGGCCTCCGCGTCATCTCTCTCTCTCTCTTCCTCCCTCCAACCTTCCCCCCCTTTCCCTCCGCCCCCCCCCCCCAAAAGCTTCTTATTTCTAGATTGCTTCTCTCCTCAAACTAATTTCCATCCATTGTTTCTTGTCCTGCCTTCAGGTGTTTGGGAGAAGTAAGTAAGTAAGCTTTTATTACGGTCAGAGACCAAATTAAAATACACATAGAAAGGGAGTATATTTTACAAATATAGATAGATCATGTGACAGTACACTATCTACTGCCTCAGATACAATCTGTACTGTCAATACTAGTGATCCTCTGCCGTAGGGCTTACCCGTCTCTTCCCCCATTTTTTTTTTCCAGCCAAAATTTTTTTGCCACCTTTAGAGTTATATTGGGGTCTGCGTCCTGGAGTAGGAAATAAATCAGGTGAACGAATCAGGTGAACCAGGGAATCTCTGGGAAATAGGAGAAATGAATCTTGATCTTATGTCCCGGTAGTGGGGACATACGAATGTAATATGGAACAGAGATTCCGGGGATCGGCCGTCACATGTACAATAGATGGATTTTACTCCCCCCGAGAGTCTGCTGTCGAGGACATTCGAGGGGATCACATTAAATCGTGCCTTCATAAATGCGAGCCTGTGTTTGATAAGAGTGTAACGCGGAGAGGTAAGGCAGAGGGTGAGGCGAGAGAGGTAGCTTGTACCTTCCTCCCACCTCTTCCTTTTTGGCAGCCCTTTAAGCTGAGCTCTTGTCTGCAAAGAAAGAAAAGCTTTGACAGCTCTTCAGAAGGCCGGATCCTGAAGAGGAAACTCAAATCCTTTGGGCCGCCTAACGAGAAGGAAGGAGAAGAGCCGAATGCTGGGAACGATGGAGGGCAAAAAGAAGAAGGGGATGGCAGAGAACGAGGAGGCTGGATGGAGTCACCGAAGCAGTCGGCGTGAGCTTAAATGGACTCCAGAGGATGGTGGAGGACAGGAAGGCCTGGAGGAACGTGGTCCATGGGGGTCGCGATGGGTCGGACACGACTTTGCGACTAACGACAACAAATATCTCTGGGGAGAACGAAAGAGGGGTCTTTGCCTGGCCCCTTCACTCTTGAAGATCCAAATTCTGGATTAAGGCGGCCCACCCACTTGACTTGCCCGATGGGGTGGGGGGGATTCCAGCTCTCGGGCTGAGAAAGGCTGGGGAGGGGAGAGGGGGGGATTTACCTGGCTTGCAAGGAAGAGGCAGGAAAGGAACTCGTGCCCCACCCCTGGGGCAGGCAAAACGGCCACCACCTCCCGTCCCGATCAGCAACAGGGTGTCGTAACTCAAGTATAACTTTGCAAAGATGCGGAGGAGAGGAAGGCGTTTCCCTGCTTTGCTGTTTTAAGAGGCCGGGGTGGGTGGGTGGGTGGGTGGAGAGCTGTAGGAGCGTGAGTGAGCCTGTCAGGCGAGGCTCCCTGCTCGCTCAGTGACGCATCTCCCGTTTCCCATCCTGGTCCAAAAGCTTCCCGGATGCTGTGGAAATTTACTAGGCGATGACCGCTACTCGCTCCCATTGGGGCATCCTTCCAGATGTTTAACGTCTCAGCTTGTGAGCAGCGCCAGATCGTAAAGCGTCCATTAGAGAGAGAGAGAGAGAGAGAGAAAGAGAAAGAGAGACAGAGGGAGGGAGGGAGGATGATGATGCCAAGGGACGCTCCCTTCTTCCCTGCCTCTTGATTCCCCCCTTGCGGCCACAGCAGGAGGATGAGAGGGGGGATAGGGAAGCCTGGGAAATAGTTCAACCCCCCCCCACTCATGCCCCTCCCAAGCTTTACCCTAACCAAGCTGTGAAAGCAGGCATGGAAAAGAGAAAAGAGTGGCTGTGGAGCATGGGCGGAGGGCAGGATGTAGCTCTCTCACTCCACATCTGTATGATCCTCTGGCCTCAACTTCTCCAGGCCTCGTCCCCAGTCCATTTGGGGTTCTCAACGGTGTGAATTAAGCTGAGGGCCTCCCACCCACCTACCCCCCCCCCCCAAAAAAATCTGGGTGTCAGAATCATAGAAGGACAGAGTTGGAAGGGACCCCGGAGGTCATCTAGTCCAACCCACCTCCTCTCCCTGGCTGGAGTTCAGGAAGAAAAGGAAGAAAATCCACCACCCCCAAGGGAAGATAATCAGCCAGCCCTGGTCCCTGATTGTTTTTCGGGTTATCTGTAAACTTCCCGGATGCTTTCCAGACCCAGAAAACTACAGCTCCCATCATTCCCAGCATGGTTTCATCCTCTCCTAAACAGAGATGCGAACAGCACAGATATATAATAGATATATAGATGAGACACACACACCCCCTTTCCTTTCCAGGGCAAGGAGAGAGGTATCCCGGTTCTGCAGAGGGAGGGAGGGTGCGGCCTGTGGTGAGAAAAGCTCTCCCAGTTGAATTTCAGCCTGCTACATAGTCCTCCCCCTTCCCCACCCCCAGGGTTCAGGATGCATGATGCTTTAAGTGAAGGATATTTTTTTGATATTGATATTTTTGATATTGATATATTTGATATTTTTTTTTACACCCGAAGTTGTGGCTTATAAAGCAGAGTACTATTTAGAGTTTTACACACGGAAACGGTTTGAGAGTAATTGTGACTAACATAGACAAATTGGGTTTTATAGTATTTTACTTTTAGGGAAAAGCAAAATCATAATCCTTTAACAATCCAAGTCTTAGCCATATAAAGTGCAATATAAGATCAATTCAGGGATATAAAATCTAGAAAAATACAAGGAACAGTCAGGAACAATATGAAAACAGTTCAATAAATACCAGAAAGCAGTAAATGAATAATCATGAGCTACATGGGGCTCCCCTTGAGGAGCACCCGGAGGCTCCAACTGGCGCAGAGTGCGGCCGCGCGGGTGGTTATGGGAGCGACATGGCGTTCCCATGGAACACCTCTCCTGCGCGAGCTGCACTGGCTCCCGGTGGTCTTCCGGGTGCGCTTCAAGGTCTTGGTTACCACCTTTAGAGTGCTCCATGGCTTAGGACCTGGTTATCTACGAGACCGCCTGCTACCACCAGTAGCCTCCCACCGGCCGGTACGCTCTCATAGAGAGGGGCTCCTCCGGGTGCCGTCGGCCAAACAATGTCGACTGGCGGCCCCCAGTGGGAGAGCTTTCTCTGTGGGGGCACCTACGATCTGGAACGAGCTCCCCCCCGGAGATACGGAGGATCCCGGATCTACGCACCTTCCGCCGCGCTCTTAAAACCTTTTTATTCCATCAGGCTGGCCTGGCCGAATTTTTCCCTTTTAAAACACCAATTTTAATTGGTTTTAATTTATTGGGGTGTTTTAAATCTGTCTTCGGCCACATTGTTTAATTCGGTTTTATTCTGTTTTTAAATTTTGTATTTATGTGTTTTTCTCTTGTGGCTGTTCACCGCCCTGAGTCCTTCGGGAGTAGGGCGGTATACAAATCAAACTAAACTAAACTAAACTAAACTAAACTAAACTAAACTAAACTAAACTAAACTAAACTAAACTAAACTAAACTAAACTAAACTAAACTAAACTAAACTAAACAGTTGACCATAGAGAGATCAAAAATAGTTACAGCACAGCAGCAGGTAAAATGGTGTAGTGTCCACACTAACCATAATTTAGCTCTCCTTAAATACATTGGCTACAGAGCTCAGCCAATCAGGATGCAGAATGACTCAGCACAATTCTTAAAGCTGGAAAATTCTGGAGGGCTGTAAATTCTGGAGATCAGCTTGAAATAGTAAAAATCGAGAGAGAAATCTCCAGAGTCGGGATGCAAATGTAAAGAGGATCTGGGGATTTGCAGCAGAGTTGATCTTCCCTGGGAGGAGGATACTGCAAAATCCCCATTCCCACCCCATTCCTGGGCCAAGGATATTGCAAAATCCCCATTCCCACCCCACTCCTGGGGCAAGGATATTGCAAAATCTCCATTCCCTCTCCACTCTGGGGCCAGCCAGAGGTAGTATTTGCCCGTTCTCCGAACTACTCAAACTTTCCGCTACCGGTTCGTCAGAACCTGCTGGATTTCACCTCTGGTCCAGGACCACTGAAGGGCACGAGGTTGGGGAAAGGAAGCTGGGCAGCAAAAGCTAGCTTAGCTTTCCGGTCCGCCTTGAGCTTCAATTTTCCATTGCTGATGCCTCTCCGCCCACAGTTTTTTCCCAAAACACGTGACGAGGAAGTAGGGGATGGCTACCCTAGGACTTCTCGTTCTGGTGTGTCAACATTCAGGCCACCACCGGTGGGCAAGGATGAGTCAGGATCTCTCTCCGTGCATCTTTCTTTCTTGGACCTTTGCTTCTTGATCCAGTAGCTCTTAATTTTGCAGATTTTTTAGGGAGACCCTGACCAGCTCCTGTCTGATTGCAAATCTCTTCCAAAACTCCACTCTCCCAACCCCAGGTTCCTGATACTTCCCTGCCGAAAGGTAGAAAGGTGCAAAAATAAAAAGACACAAAGAGAAAGTATTGGAGATGTTGGTACCCACAAGCCAGTTCTCAAAGATCTGTCTGGCCAGGGAGGAGGAGGAGGAGGAGGAAGAGGAAGAGGGAGGGTGGGAATTCCTGATTCATTTGCATAGAATGACGCAGCTTGTTTGATGTCATGTGGACCCTGGACACAACAGTGGAGCTGTTTGTTTGATTCCTGCATGTTGACGCCCTCTGAAAAACTCCAAAAGAGCTAACAAGCCACTATGATGGACTTTGGATTTATTTTGCATTTACGGCTTTTGGCTTTTCCATGGATTTATAAAAGGCTTCTATGCACAGCTGGGAACGAGGGAAGGAGCTTCTAAATAGCAGCCCCCAAAGAGGAAGAGGGACCCTCTGCTTCGCAGTTTGAAGGAGCTTTAGCCACTTTCCCTGAGCATTAAAACTTGGTTTGCGAGCGAACAAACAAGCATATGTTTGTTCTTTCAAACATATGCAGAGTGCTGCCTTCCCTCGGAAATAAAAGCTGGGCTGGCTTGCTAGGAATTAAAATTTAGATCTGATTTGTTGCGTAGCTTTCAGCCCTTGGAGGACGCACATACAGTACAGGTTGGCCTCGACGTACGACCACAATTGAGCCCCAAATTTCTGTCGCTGAGTGAGTTTTGCCCCATTTGATGACCTTTCTTGCCACAATTGTTAAGTGAATCACCACAGTTAATAAATTAGTAACCCCGGTTCAGGGGTGAAATTCAGCAGGTTCTGGAGAACCGGTAGCGGAAATTTTGAGTAGTTCGGAGAACCGGCAAATGCCACCTCTGGCTGGCCCCCGAGTGGGGTGGGGAATGGGGATTTTGCAGTATCCTTCCTCCCAGGAGTGGGGTGGGAATGGGGATTTTGCAGTATCCTTCCCCTGGAGTGGGGTGAGAATGGGGATTTTGTAATATCCTTCCCCCAGGAGTGAGGAGGGAATGGGGATTTTGCAGTATCCTTCCTCTGGAGTGAGGGAATGGGGATTTTGCAGTATCCTTCCCCTGGAGTGGGGTGGGAATGAGGATTTTGCAGTATCCTTCCCCTGTAGTGGGATGGGAATGGGGATTTTGTAATATCCTTCCCCCAGGAGTGAGGAGGGAATGGGGATTTTGCAGTATCCTTCCCCTGGAGTGGGGTGGGAATGAGAATTTTGCAGTATCCTTCCCCTGTAGTGGGATGGGAATGGGGATTTTGTAATATCCTTCCCCCAGGAGTGAGGAGGGAAAGGGGATTTTGCAGTATCCTTCCTCTGGAATGAGGAGGGAATGGGGATTTTGCAGTATCCTTCCCCTGGAGTGGGGTGGGAATGGGGATTTTATAGTATCCTCCTGGAGTGGGGTGGGAATGGAGATTTTGCAGTTTCCTTCCCCTGCCACACCCACCAGGCCACACACCACGCCCAGCAAGCCACACTCACAGAACCGGTGGTAAAAAAAAGAAATTTGAATTCCACCACTGCCCCGGTTGTTAAGTGAATCTGGCTCCCCCCTTGATTTCGCTCGTCAAAAGGTTACAAAGGGGGGGGGGTTCCTATGACCTTTGGACACAGCAACGGTCGTAAGCATGAGTCACTTGCCAAGCACCTGACTTTTGATCACACGATCGTGGGGATGCTAGAAAGGTCCTAAGTAGGAAAAATTTTCAGTGCTTTGGTGACTTTCAACGGTCACGAAATGAAGTCGAGAACTACCTGTACTGAAGATTAGACAGTAGGCTAAAGTTTATGAGCTCTGAAAAATTATGTCTGTCTTTAGAAGGGATCTAAATTATTTCCTTCTGCGGCCAATGGTTGAGTCAACTTTTAACTGTTTCCTCTTTTGATAAAGCCTCAAAGTACAACTCGAGCGATGTAGTCACAGACAGATAAGGCACAGAAACAAACAGAGTTCCTGATTTATCCAAACATCGCCATTTTTTCACCTAGAAAAAGGAAGTTTTTTTCCCCTTTAATTTTATACCCATTTTCACGGACTTCAAAGAAGGCATTCATTAAAAAAAAAAAAAGTATTTTTTAAATGTATATTTAAACAACATAACGGGATTATATAAATCTGATTAATGTGATAGAGATCATTAATAAGGTCAATGTGAATTGGATCAACATGAATGATATCTATTTAAATTGGTTCATACTGTTATTGTGAATTGGATTAATATGAAAAAAAAAACGGATAAGAATTGAAGTACTGAAGAGGAGATGTATAAAGGAGGATTGTATAAATTCGATAAATGTGACAGAGATTATTAACGACGTTAGCGTGACTTGGATCAATATAAATGAAATTTCATTAAATTTGTTCATACAAAAGAGAAATGTTTAGATAGAACAAGAAAGATATAGATGAAGGTAGAGATAAAGATGAGGAGTTAGGCATTTTTTGAATATGTATGAACAATATAACGAGGATTATTTGGATCAATATAAATGAAATTTCATTAAATTTGTTCATACATAAGAGAAATGTTTAGATAGAACAAGAAAGATATAGATGAAGGTAGAGATAAAGATGAGGAGTTAGGCATTTTTTGAATATGTATGAACAATATAACAAGGATTACTTAAATTTGAGAAATTGTGATAGAGATCAATAATATTGTTATTGATATACCCAGAACCAACTCTGTTCACACACAATATAAATGTATAATTAAACAAATAATAATAATAAATATATTACAGAAAGAAGGCGTTCAAAGCAGTCTAGATCAGTTTTGTTTTTTTTTTAAGAAAATCCCAAGTGACTTTAATTTTACAAAATAATTCAAAAGCATCAAATGGCAACAAGAGACATGAGACATTTACAAAGCGTTTTCAACGGTGGAAAACTGAGAATTAGAAGGCAGCCTGAGCAGACATTCCTAGCAAGGAAATTCTATATAAAATATAGTTTCTTTCCACATTTTTTTTAAATATACCACCTTTAACTACATCCTGTTCTCCGCAAGAGAGGATCGGATCACCCTTCCTTGGACTTATTCAGACAACTATAAATAACCTTCGACAATTTGGCCTGGAATTTCAGAGGTTTTACTTTTAATACCCTGTTTCCCCCAGAATAAGACACCCCCTGATAATAAGCCCAATCAGGCTTTTGAGCGCATGGCAATAAGGCCAAGCGCTTATTTCAGGGTTCAAACAAAATATAAGACAGGGTCTTATTTTCGGGGAAACACAGTATCTATCTATCTATCAATCGTCTAGCTATCCATCTAATTATCCATCTATCATCTATTTATCTATCCATCTAATTATCCATCTATCATCTATCAATCATCTATTTATCATCTATCTATCATCTATTTATCTATCCATCTAATTATGCATCTATCATCTATCCAATCATCTATTTATCATCTATCATCTATTTATCTATCCATCTAATTATGCATCTATCATCTATCTATCATCTATCCATCTATCATCTATTTATTTATCCATCTATCTATCCATCTATCTATCATCTAACCTGTTTCCCCCAAAATAAGACATTCCGTGATGATAAGCCCAATCGGGCTTTTGAGCGCATGGCAATAAGGCCAAGCGCTTATTCAGGGTTCAAAAAAATATAAGAGAGGGTCTTATTTTCGGGGAAACAGAGTATCTATCATCTATCAATCATCTATCTATCTATCTATCTATCTATCTATCTATCTATCTATCATCTATTTATTTATCTATCCATCTAACAATCCATCTATCATCTATCTATCATCTATTTATCTATCCATATATCTATCCATCTATCTATCATCTAACCTGTTTCCCCCAAAATAAGTCATCCCCTGATGATAAACCCAATTAGGCTTTTGAGTGCAGGGCAATAAGGCCAAGCGCTTATTTCAGGGTTCAAAAAAATATAAGACAGGGTCTTATTTTCGGTAAACACGGTAATATTTTGGATCAAACCCGCCTTTAAATTTGCCTAAAAGAAACAGTATGGGAGAAAGGCAAAGTACAAATATTGAATATCGATAATTAGCAAGGCGCAATCAAGGCATTTAACACATTTTTTTTTTAAAAAAATCAAATTTCCCTCTTGCCTGCATGTGTTCCGGCTTCATAGTTGTTCTCGCTTGTCCCAACGAGGCTTGTGAAGTGCGTTTCTTTGGTCACAGAATGTGTGTATGCAAAAGAACCATTTGTGCTCTCCCGAACTTTTAACGGGAAACTTTAATATGGAAGTGACTTCCAATAATCCATTCTACTTGCTACTCCTCCCACCCCTTCCCCGTGATTTGAAAATATTGCCATCGTCCCGTAAAATGATCACAGCAGCATTTATGGTTGGTATGCAAGTGTAAACATACAGCTTCGGAGAATACTTCAAAGCAGAGAAAATTCCTCCCTTCTAAAACGATATCAAGGCATGAAAGTGCTAAATAAGGAGCCCTGCCCCCTCGTCATACTAAATCCACGGCAATACTGCTGTTGGTTACTTTCACTGCCGACCGCCAGCCCACTCGGTGTTCAAAATCCACATAGCGCACTCCAGACGGATAATTTTCAAAGACGTACGAAACCTACAGAGGAGAGAAATGCATACAGAATAATAAGAGTCGGAAGGGATCTTGGAGGTCTTCTAGTCCAACCCGGAGACCCTATACCCGTGATGGAGAACCGGTGGTACGCGGAGCCATATATGTGGGCACGCGAGTGTTGCCCTAGCCGGCCAGCATGCACAGAGCTGCCAGAAGGCAAGAGCAGCTAAAGCAAAAGGGACGACTAGGGAGTAAAGCCTGGAGATGATTGGCCCCTCCCGTAAGGCTTAAAAGAGGAGCAAAGGCACGTGGGCTCTTTGCAGGAAAGCAACGTTGTTAACTCTGTTCCCAGTCGGCATCTCTGTTTGATTCTGGACTCCGTGTGGCTTTGCCAAGTAGGTCTTTGGCAGCGTGTCGAGGGAGATAAAGGTTGGTGATTATCCCGAAGGACTTCTCCCGAAGGACTTTTTGCAACTAATTGGGACTCAGCTGTGAATGAACGTAATTCACAGCTGTTGCAATAAGAGAGGTTTTTGGGACTACTCGTGTGCTTTAATGACTCAGGAAGCCTAGGTCACAACAGTTACCAACTTATCCACGACAGTGATTCACTTAACAGCCGTGGCAAGAAAAGTCGTAAAACGGGACAAAACTCACTTGACAAATGTTTCGCTCGGCAACGTAAATTTTGGGCTCGATTGTGGTCGTACATCGAGGACTACCCTGTACCATTTCAGACAAAAGGGATGTCCATGTTTTGTTTTACCTCCCGCCATTCTTCCACAGTAGGCACTCGTTCTCGGACTTCAAACATCTTGCAGTAATTTTGGAGGACTTCGCAATTGGCAGAGAGCAGATTCACCGTCAGCTGGTAGTGGGAATTGTCCACATTAAAATACCTGTGTTTACAAGGGAGAAAAACGGGACAGAAAACAGCCAGCATCAGCTGGCTGCTTCCAAAGGCCATTTTGTGCCTCAAATAACGTCGAGGGTATTGAAGGAGGCAACGTAAAACCAGTGATGAAATTCAAATTTCTTTACTATCGGTTCTATGGGCGTGGCTTGGTGGGCATGGCAGGGGAAGGATGCTGCAAAATCTCCATTCCCACCCCGCTCCAGGGGAAGGATGCTGCAAAATTCCCATTCCCACCCCTCTCCAGGGGAAGGATGCTGTAAAATCTCCATTCCCACCCTGCTCCAGGGGAAGGATGTTGCAAAATCCCCATTCCCACCCTGCTCCAGGGGAAGGATGTTGCAAAATCCCCATTCCCACCCCACTCCAGGGGAAGGATGCTGCAAAATCTACATTCCCACCCCACTCTGCACCCAGCCAGAGATGGTATTTGCTGGTTCTCGAAACTACTCAAAATTTCCGCAACTGGTTCTCCAGAACCTGTCAGAACCTGCTGGATTTCACCCGTGCGTAAAACCATCTCTTTGGACAGCCTAATGTTAGAAGAAGAAAAACCTTTACTCCAGCCTAACTTACATCCTCTAAATCAGGTGTCTTCAACCTTGGCCACTTGAAGACTTGTGGACTTCAACTCCCAGAATTCCCTAGCCAGCCATGTCCACAAATCTTCAAGTGGCCAAGATTGGAGAACCTTGTTTTAGAATGATAAAAGTGTCAATCTCATTTTAACCAGCTATCTTGCTCTCCGAGTTTTGGGCATGAAGAATCCAAAATCTATTTGGCATACATAACTTGATTCCCCCCACCCTAATGTTGTGGCCCACCAGTGGCCAGCAGAGCTGGCATCAGATTCGGACAGTGAGGAGGTTGGGGAGGAACGTGGGCCAGTCCTGGAGTCTGGGGAAGGCTCGGATGATGGCTCTGAGTCGGAGGTAGAGAGGGGGCCAAGGTCATCTGGTAGTTCTTTGCTGCCTCCCGAGTCTCCGGAGTCTGACATCAGTGAGGCAGAAGAACAGCGGGAGCCTGTTCCCAGTGTGAACAAAAGCAGAGCTGCCAGGAGAACAGGAACAATTAAGGAAACAGGGTCGACTTGGGAGTAAGGCTTAGAGATGATTGTCCCCTCCCATAAGACATAAAAGAAGAGCGAACGGGACATGAGCTTTTGCAGGAAACAATTAGTTCATCTGGCCGATTCAAGATTTGAAAATTCTGTTTGTTACTCTGTGCCAAGTTTGGCCTTGCCCTGCGGCTGGAAATTAGCTCTCTGGCAGCATTCCAAGGGAGATAAGGTGGGTGTTGATAAACCTTCCTCTGAAAGACTGTTTATCAAGCCTTGCGGGCTGTACGTGAAAGTAATTTACCGCCGTATGAATTAAAGAGGTTTGCCGGGACTAAGTTTGTGCTGTTTAATTTCTAAGGAAGTCTAGGTCCGAACACCTAAATACACCATTTAGGGAACCCGAGTTCTCTTCTCAAGAGAATATTTGGGGCCTTTTGAAGAAAGAGAACCCGTTCATCATCGTACAATTCGCCCCCACTCCAGTACTCACCAATCCTTCACCGTGATTTGGGGCTTCATTTCATCCATTACCCAGTTCGGGATCCCTTTGTCCTTCAAGGTGACGCGTTGTTTCTTCTTCACAAAAAACCTAAACAGAGGCAGAAATGAAGAAAGGCCATCCTCGTCTACAGAAAAGACACTGGCGCCGGAGAGGGTTAGAAGCTGGAAGCTCCTGCGGGAAATCCACCTTCAGCAGACATATACAGGTGGTCCTCGTCTTACCGCAATTCACTTAGTGACTGTTTGAAGTTACAACGGCACGGAAAAAAGCGACTTGGCGAGGGTTTTTCCACACCACCCTTGCAGCATCTCCAGGGTCACATGATCAAAACTCAGACCCTTTTGGCCACTGACTCATATTTATGACGCTGTTGTGGCCCATCAATGGCCTGTGCGGATTGTAGCTGATTCCGACAACGAGGAGGCTGGTGTGGTGCAGCTGGCATCCGAGTCAGACAATGAGGAGGCTGGAGAAGATGTGGTGCCAGAGGCAGGGATTCAGCCAGGGCCTTCAGAACCTCCAGAAGCTTCCATGGGTGAAGAGGAAGAAGAGGAGGAGCCTCTTCTCGATGCACGGGCACGTGCAGAGCTGCCAAAAGGCAGGAGTGGCTCCTCAGGAAGAGGTCTCCTCAAGAGTAAGGCTTGGGTCTAATTGGCCACTACCTTAGCCTATTTAAGGAGGAACACCAACTGAAGCAAATTGTAGGGAACAACTTTAGTTCATTCTCCTTCGGTCTGGATTCTCTGCAAATTGCTTCTGGGCTTTCTGCCAACCTTAGTAAGATTGTGATTACTTTATCTTTGTTTTCTTGTAGGCTGTTAAGGAAGTTTATTAACAGCCTTTGTTTGGAAAAGACTGAATTATTTTAGTAAATTTAAGTTTTGTACAAACTTTATGTGTGCTATGTTCTTTGAGGTCCTTAGCTGGGGCAGAACAGACGCTCACAGCATCCCGGGATCATGCGATGCCCCTTTTTGCGACCTTCTGACAAGCAAAGTCAATGGGGAAGCCAGATTCACTTAACAACCGTGTTACTCAGTTTAACAACTGTTGTGATTCACTTAAACCCGTGATGGCGAACCTATGGCACGCGTGTCACAGGTGGCACGCAGAGCTATGACAGTGGGCACGTGAGCTCCGCTCTGGCCCACATGCACACGCTGGCCAGCTGATTTTCGGGCCTTCTGGTCCCACTGGAAGTCAGTAAACAGGCGGTTTCTGGCCTCCGGGGGATGGGGAAGGCTGTTTTTGCCCTCCCCAGGCTCCTAGAAAGCCCCTGGAGCCTGGGGAGGGCAAAAAACAGGCCTACCGGGCCCACTGTGCCATCGCGTGCCAAAAGCGTGGGGAGCACACAATGGCAAAAAGGTTAGCCATCACTGACTTAAACCAATGTGGCAAGAAAAGTCGTAAAATGGAGCACAACTTACTTAACAACGCTCTCACTTAGCAACAGAAATGTTGGGCTCTATTGCGGACGTAAGTCGAGGACTACCTGTACAATCTCAGACTCTTTTGCACAGGCCTGGTTTCGACTTGGGGGAGATCACCGGGGACCATGCAAAACATCCCAATTCCCGGATGAGCTCCCTAACTCTTGCGATCAAAATTTAAAAATACCTCAGGCCGCCATCTTGGTGCCAGGTTGGTACGAAGACCGTCCAAACGGTGTCTGGAAGAGGGGATTTGCGTTTCTTTTTAAATATCTTGAAGAAATGCCTCTTGAACCCACTGGGAATATCCTCAGGCATCCAGTCGGCCATCCAGTCCGCGGGATGCAGTTCCCAGTATCTCAGCCCCGCTGCAGGAAAGAAGCAAAAAGAAAGAAAAAAAAAGGCAAATTAACAAGGAATGACTGGGTTTGAATAGAATAAAACAGAATTTGAATAGAACAGAACAGTGATGGCTAACCTTTTTGCCATCGTGTGCCAAAAGTGTGTGGGGGGGGTTCGGGGGGTCGCGCAGACACGTACCCACACCCATAATTCTATGTGCCCCAGCCCCCCACGCATGCATGTACGACCCGCCCCCTCATGCTCCCCACACTTTTGGCATGCGATGGCACAGTGGGCCCGGTAGGCCTGTTTTTTGCCCTCCCCAGACGCCAGAGGCTTTCTAGGAACCTGGGGAGGGCATAAACAGCCTTCCCCACCCCACCCCGGAGGCCAGAAACGACCCGTTTGCTGACTTCCAGTGGGACCAGGAGGCCCGAAAATTAGCGTGTGCATGTGCGCCGGAGTGGAGCACGCGTGCCCACCGATATGGCACCGCGTGCCACCTGTGGCACGCTAGGTTTGCCATCCCGGGAATAGAATAACAGAGTTGGAAGGGACCTTGGAAGTCTTTTAATCCAGGGATCTCCAACCTTGGCAACTTTTAAGACTTGGGGACTTCAACTCCCAGAATTCCTCAGCAAAGCCGGCTGAGGAATTCTGGGAGTTGAAGTCCGCCAGGCTTAAAGTTGCCAAGGTTGGAGATCCCTGTTCTGGAAAGACTCCGGGAATTGTCGTCCGGCTCCGAAGAGCCTTTCAAGCAAGGACCAACCTCTTCCGCAAACGTTCCTCAGGAGATTCCTTTTGCTCAAGCTGAAGAAAAACGCCCTCCAATCCGGAAGGCTGCCTTCCAGCGGCTCCAGGTGGAAGCCGAGCCGCTCGCATTTCCTCTTCCAGACCACGGGAAGGTCCACTAGGTAACGCCACCGTTTGCAGACCAGCCGGCAGTTGTGGATCAGGTCCCGCTTGGGAACCCAGGAGAGGACGTCCAGCAAAGTGTCCTCCGGCAAATCCTGCAGGGTCAGTTCCTTCCTCTGGAGAGAACTGAGCGTTGAGCAAACATCATGAGGACTAGCGCCCTCCAATCCCAAGGACACAGAAGTGTTGCAACAGGAAACGGAGCAAAGAAAAAAAAAAAGCCAAAAGCTACACGGTACTATATAGGAAGTGGGCAAAAAGCCATCTGGCTCCTAAAGCTACAGGGCGCAACTCTGGACATGCTCAGAGACACTCTTGTTCCAGGGGTGCTATTTCAGCAGGTTCTGGAGAACGGGTAATGGAAATTTTGAGTAGTTCGGAGAACCGGCCAATACCACCTCTGGCTGGCCCGAGTGGGGAGGGAATGGGGATTTTGCAGTATCCTTCCCCCAGGTGTAGGGTGGGAATGGGGATATTGCAGTATCCTTCCCCCAGGAGTGGGGTGGGAATGGGAATATTGCAGTATCCTTCCCCCTGGAGTGGGGCAGGGATGGGGATATTGCAGTATCCCTCCCCCAGGAGTGGGGTGGGAATGGGGATTTTGCAGTATCCCTCCCCCCAGGAGTGGGGTGGGAATGGAGATTTTGCAGTATCCTTCCCCCAGAAGTGGTGTGGGAATGGGGATTTTTGCAATATCCTTCCCCCAGGAGTGGTGTGGGAATGGGGATTTTGCAGTATCCTTCCCCCAGGACTGGGGTGGGAATGGGGATATTGCAGTATCCTTCCCCCTGGAGTGAGGAGGGAATGGGGATTTTGCAGTATCCCTCCCCTGGAGTGAGGAGGGAATGGGGATTTTGCAGTATCCTTCCCCCAGGAGTGGGGTGGGGATGAAGATTTTGCAATATCCTGGTGGGAATGGAGATTTTGCAGCATCCTTCCAGGAGTGGGGAGGGAATGGGGATTTTGCAGTATCCTTCCCCCAGGAGTGGGGAGGGAATAGAGATTTTGCAGCATCCTTCTCTTGCCACGCCCACCAAGCCACGCCCACAGAACAGGTAGTAACAAAATTTGAATTCCCCCTCTGCCTTCCTCCTTTTGCTAGGACTCTGGACATGCTCAGAGACACTCTGGCTCCTTTTGCTCCTTTGCCAGGATCTTGGGGGAAGGAGGGGCATTTGGCCTGGCTGACCTCCCACCCTGGGGTGCTTTTAAGGATCCCCAATTGCTTGCCTGTGCTGCTGCAGGGAGGGGGGGTGGCAGGAGCGACGAGACCCCCGGGCTTCTCCGCTTGGCCTCCTTTCCTTTCGAATTGGGCTGCTCCCTCTCCCCGCCCGCTGCTCCTTAACTTCGGGGTTTACCTGGCCCGGGAAGGCGGCGGTGGGCGGCGGCTGGAGCAGCAACAGCAGGCGGCGGTGACCAGGGGGGACATGGGTCGCTCGGTGGCGGGCAAGGAAATGGGTGGAAGCTTCCCTGTTAATGCCAGGCAGCCCAGCTGATGTCAGGGTGGGCGTGGCTAGCGGGGGGGCGTGGTCCGCGGAGGGGCGTGGCCTGCAGCCAGGAAGGCGTGTCTGATTGCAGACCTGAGCTCCGCAGCCAAGAATTGGGAAGTGGGGAGGGGGAGGGAATCCGAGGCCCCTCTCTTCTCCCCATACCCTGGTTGGACTCCAGCTCCCATCATCCCCCGCCGGCCCAGCCTTTCCGCATAGAAAGGCCAGGTGGCTCAGTGGCTGAATGAGAAAATCATCAGAAAAAAGCAGAAAAGGTCGGCAGTTCGGCGGTTCGAATCCCTAGTACAGGTCTCCTGCGTGAGCAAGGGGGTTGGGATAGATGACCTCCGAGGTCCCTTTCAGCTCTGTTACTGTTAAAGCCACCAGGACTGGGGGGGGTGAGCAGGCGCGGGGGGGGGGGGGGGGGCGAGAGGCGATTGCTCCCGATCCCTCTTTTTTGCAAAGCTAACTAAAGCGCCGGGAGTGGGGAAGGGGCTTGGTTTGCCGAGCCTCTGAGCATGTGCAGAGTGCCCAGGAGCTACAAATACTCCTGGGCACTCTTTACGCGTTTCGGGAGGGGGAAAAAAAAAGACTCGAGGCAATGTAAGTTTTTTGGACGGCGAGTGGGAAGTGGCGGGTGGGAGTAGGAGTTAATCAGAATTAATTAGATTAATAAATGATATTTCCCTAAAGTCTCTCAATCCAACTTTGTTGAAAGTTCGGGATAGTGCAAATCTTTTTTGACAATCAGCTCTGACCGTTTTGCAAGAGGGTTAAACAAGGAAAGGGTTGGTTTTGGCGTTTGGAAGGAGGTCAGTAACAGTAACAAGAGTTGGAAGGGACCTTGGGAGGTCATCTAGCCCAACCCCCCTGCTCAGGCTGCACTAGGGATTCGAACCGCCGAACTGCCGACCTTTTCTGACCGACAAGCCAAGTCTGACTAGGCCTGCGCACCTAAATTTAAATTTAAAAAACGAACTCGTGTTAAGTTAGCTAAAAAAAAAAATAACCCAGTAGCGCAAGTGATCACAATCGATATTGATCAAAGTTTTGCTTTTGTTTTGCTTTTTGAAATTTTCCTTCTCTCCCGCCTCCGTAGCAAATCAGCCAATCGGCTTCCTCGAGCCGAGCAGATAGGCAACGGCGTTAGCCAATAGCAACGGCAAGCGCTTTTTCTTTTTTCTTTTTTTTTTTGATCCTTGGCCCCGCCTTTGCCAGTCGTCCTTGGCCCGCCCACAAAAAAAGGCGGCGCTCTCCCATATGAATAGCAAGGCGAGGAGACGAGCGTTCGGCCCGCCTCTTGAAAAGGCAAACGTTAAGATTGCGCATGTGCAAGCGTCTAGCGGCCCGTCTCTATGGTTGAACGTACGTTGCCGAAAACTTTCCCCCCTTAAGAATCCGCAACGTCTCGCCGACGTGAAGGTCACGTAATACCCTCTACCGTAATACCCAGAATAGGCGCGCGCGTATTTTTTTTTTTTTAATTAAATCCTTCATAGGCGTCCATGGCGGCAAAGGAAATAACGGTCATCGCCCATTTAGTTCCAGTAGTGAATGATTGACCCTCGCTACCGTATTTCCTAGAATAGACGCCCCCCATACTTTGTTAATTTTTTTAAATTTTTTTTTTCCTAATTCGGGGCTAGGCTTCTTTTTCTGAGGCATTTGCGGGGGGTGGGGGGTTGTTTTATTGCGGGGTTCGGGAGAATGAAGCGCGTTGCCCTTGAGGAGAAGCGGAACCACGGGCTGCGGGGTCCGGATTCCGGCCTGGAGCCTTTGAGAGGCCCACGCCAAGGCCCTCCCTCCCCGGCCAGGGGCGGAGGCGGCAGGGGAGAAAGCTTCCCGGGCAAAGAGCCGCGCCGTCCCGCCTGGGTGAGTCCTGACTGAGGAGACGCCCCCGGCCTCGCACCCCGAGCCCCATGGTCCACAGCCGGCCTAGGCCGCGGAGAGGCCCCGGAGGGGGAAACGGGGGCGGGAGGCTGGGAGGGGCTTCCAACTGTCATCCCAGCCCTTCCTTCTCAGGGGAGGAGGGGGCTCCTGGGACCCCCAAACTAAAGGGAAATGGGGGCGGGGGGCTTCCAACTGTCTTCTCAGCCCTTCCTTCTCAGGGGAGGGGGGGCTCCTGGGACCCCCAAACCAGGGGGAAGCTGGGGGGGCTTCCAACTGTCATCCCAGCCCTTCCTTCTCAGGGGAGGAGGGGGCTCCTGGGACCCCCAAATCAGGGGGGAGCTGGGGGGGCTTCCAACTGTCATCCCAGCCCTTCCTTCTTAGGGGAGGAGGGGGCTCCTGGGACCCCCAAATCAGGGGGGAGCTGGGGGGGCTTCCAACTGTCATCCCAGCCCTTCCTTCTCAGGGGAGGAGGGGGCTCCTGGGACCCCCAAATCAGGGGGGAGCTGGGGGGGCTTCCAACTGTCATCCCAGCCCTTCCTTCTTCAGGAGAGGGGAGCTCTTGAGACCCCCAAACTAAAGGGAAATGGGGGCGGAGGGCTTCCAACTGTCATCCCAGCCCTTCCTTCTCAGGGGAGGAGGCTCCTGGGACCCCCAAACCAGGGGGAAGCTGGGGGGGGCTTACAACTGTCATCCCAGCCCTTCCTTCTCAGGGGAGGGGGGGCTCTTGAGACCCCCAAACTAAAGGGAAATGGGGGCGGAGGGCTTCCAACTGTCATCCCAGCCCTTCCTTCTCAGGGGAGGAGGAGGCTCTTGGGACCCCCAAACCAGGGGGAAGCTGGGGGGGGCTTCCAACTGTCATCCCAGCCCTTCCTTCTCAGGGGAGGGAGGGGGCTCCTGAGACCCCCAAACCAGGGGGAAGCATGGGGGGCTTCCAACTGCCATCCCAGCCCTTCTCAGGAGAGGGGGGCTCCTGGGACCGCCAAACCAGGGGAAAGTAGGGGGGGCTTCCAACTGTCATCCCAGCTCTTCCTTCTCAGGGGAGGGGGGGCTCCTGGGATCCCCAAACCAGGGGGAAACGGAGGGGGGCGGGGGGGGGCTTCCAACTCTCATCCCAACCCTTCCTTCTCAGGGGAGGGGGAGGTACCCCCAAACCAGGCCTCAGGCCGTGCCTTTTGGGCCTTGGGGTCCCTTTAAGGGTTTCTGATAAAGGGAATACATATTTAATTCTACATGTGTTAACAGTAGCGAGAATTGTATTTGCACAACAGTGGAAAAATGAAGAAATCCCGACAGATGAACGTGTAATAATAAAAAAACCAGAATGCGCAGAGATGGATAGATTAACACTCAGAATAAAGGAGAAGGAAGAAACAGAATATTTTTTAACATGGGATTTATTCTACCAATGGTTAGTTAACAGAAACAGAAGTTGGAAACTTAAAAGCTTAAAAGAATGAAGGTTACTAGTATGGATAAGCAAATATGATTATTATTTACTTGTTATAATTATAATAATTATTATTACTATGTGATTATCAGTGCTATTATTATTATTACTATTATTACCTTTCAAAACCAACTGTACTCAGACAACACACTGATCATGTAGATACTGAGTTTTTATGTCTACTAAAGAAAAATGTATAAATAAAACATATAAAACAAAAAAAAAACCCCTGAATGCTAGCAGTGGTGAGAGGGAGAAAAAAAACCCGGTCTGCCTTCTTACTGGGAGGGTGCTTTAATTGCAACTCAGCCAGCCTCGGATGACACCGGGAATTAGTCCATCCAGTTGGATCCTTCATGTCTTGCCACTAATCTATCCGGTTCTACCTCGCCGTGTTTCTCCAGATTTGGAGTTAAGAACTGTCCTGATTACGCGATCCAGTTGTACTACTAGAAAATGTCTGGCTTCGGATACAGAGCCTGTTGGTTTGCATAATTTCAACCCCACGCCTCTGCAATTCCGGAGAAAACGTCTGATCTGCGCAGAATAGATCCCAGCCCCTCCAGGTAAGGCTGCTAGGGCTCCGGTTTGGGATTTGGGAAATGCTGCTCCTGTTCTGTGGAAGACCGTAGTAGTGGCCTTTGAGATGTTTTGATCCTCAGCTCCCATCCTCCCAGCCAGCATGGCCAGAGGTGAAAGAGTGATGAAGTTGTCCTCAACAGTTGGAGACTGTCAGCTTACCTGTCTCTGTGCCAAACGATTTGGTAGAAGGTTGTTTTTTTTTAAAAAAAGGGAAACTTGTACTTTTTTTATAGGGCTTGATCTTTGATTAAAAGCGTTTTTGCTCAGGAAATTCTTTGGTTGAGTTTCAACAGGAAAAAAAAATGATTGATAGACTTCCTGCTGCTATGGAATTACCCCACTTCCCCCTCCCCCACATTAGCTGTGCTGAGTGGCTGCTGGGAATTGTAGTCCTACCACTTCTGGAGACCCCCCTTACTATTTTTAAAAAGACATGATTTTTTTTTCTTTTTTTTTTTCCCCCCCTCCATCCACTTGGAATTCTTGGAGCAGAATTCTCGCCCACATTTGAGAGCGGGATTCAGGGTGAAAGAGACTGCTGCACCCTTGAGTTGGCTTTCTGAGCCTGAAACAAAGTAAAGGCTTTATGAGCAAGAGTGAGATTTCATCGGGGAGCCCATTTTGGGGTCATCTCTTAAACAGGGTGAAATCAGACTTCTAAATGAACAAGGCAGCTACTTCTCTCCACTGAGGGTTAATGAAGGAAAACAATTCTCTCTCTTTCTCTCTCTCCCTTTCTCTCTCTCTCTCTCCCCCTTTCTTTCTTTCTCTTTCTTTCTCCTCTCCCCCTCTCTCCCTTTCTCTCTCTCCCTCTTTCTTTCTCTTGCTCTCTCCCTCCTTCACTCCCTTTATTTCTTTCTTTTTTTAAAAAAAAATTATTAAACTTTTTTTTGATACGAACAAACAAACAACAAAACACACAAATAAAAATCCATCTTTACATCTTCTTTTCAACATGTCGCATCAGTAGTCTATATTCATATTTATACATTTTCTCTTTCTTACTTTAACTTATCCCTTATCCCTATATTCCTAATATATCATCTATATGTGTTCTCTTAATCTACATATTTGATTTACTATTAACATAAATTGGTACTTAATTTCCTATCCACAATTTATATCTTCTCATTTATTTCCATATCTTTTTTCCTTTTTCTCCTCCAACCATTTATATCATTTCTCCCATACTAAATAGTAATCCGTTTCATCTTTTTCTTGTATCTCTTTGTGAGCTTGTCCATTTCCATCTCTTTGTGAGCTTGTCCATAATTTTACTAATCACCTTATCCTCTGATGGTATATCATTGCTTTTCCAATTTTGAGCGAAAACTATTCGTGCTGCTGTCAATATATGAATGATTAAATATCTTATTTCTTTTTCATATGGCCTGATAATTATTCCCAATAAGAAGATTTCTGGCCTTATTTCTATTTGTTGGTTTATAATTTCTTCTATTTGTATTCTAATTGATTGCCAAAATTGTTTTGCTTTCTGACAAGACCATCACATGTGGTAATAGGTTCCTTTTTGGTGTTTGCATTTCCAGCGTAGCGGGGAGGTGTTCGGGAAGATCTTTGCCAATCTGGCAGGCAGAAGGTGCCACCTATAAAACATCTTGTACATGTTTTCTTTATAGGATACAGACATTGTTAGTTTATAATTTATATTCCATAATTTCTCCCATTTTTCTAATTCAATATTGTATCTGAAATTTTTCGCCCAAATTATCATATGATAATTTGGGCCTTCACTCCCTTTCTCTCTCTCTCTCCCTTTCTTTCTTTCTCTTTCTGTCTCTCAGTCTGTGTCTGTTTCTCTCTCTCTCTTTCTCTCTCTCTCCCTTTCTCTTTCTTTCGCCTCTCTCCCTTTCTCTCTCTCCCACTTTCTTTTTCTTGCTGTCTCCCTCCCTCCTCCTCTCCCTTTCTTTCTCTTTCTCCCTTTCTCTTTCTGTCTGTCTGTCTGTCTGTTTCTCTCTCTCTCTCTCTCTCTTTCTCTCTCGCCAAACTGATCATTTAACACAGTCATTTAGCAGGTAAGGGCTTACTATCAGTTGCATTGTGGATGCGCAGCTTCAGATATATTACAGCAATTATTTAGCTAAATTGGGTATTTAGTTAGCTATCTCTATTTCTATGCCTGCCCAGAGTCATTGACTGAGATGGGCGGCCATAAAAATTGAATAAATAAATATTTTTTTTATCGTTTAGTTGTCTTAATTTTTCCACTTGCTTCCTTGGGGTTTTTTTCTTAGCTCTTTCAGGTCAGTCCCTGGACTTTGAAAAGCATGTCCTCTCACCTGAGGAGGCTCTCATTCCTCTTTTCCTTCTCACCCTGTTTGCCCAATTTTTCCTTGTCCAAATACAGTCCGTAAAGTGTCTCCTTTCTTTCCTAAAGCATCTTCCAGGTTAAAAAAAAAAAGAGGGGGGGGAAAACCATTAAAAAAATTAGCAATTGCACAAACTAACTTACTTTCTTTCTTTCTTTCTTTCTTTCTTTCTTTCTTTCTTTCTTTCTCTTTCTTTCTTTCTTTCCTTCCTTCCTTCCTTCCTTCCTTCCCTCCCTCCCTCCCTCCCTTCCTTCCTTCCTTCCTTCCTTCCTTCCTTTCCTTTCCTTTCCTTTCCTTTCCTTTCCTTTCCTTTCCTTCCTTCTTTCCTTCCTTCCTTCCTTCCTTCCTTCCTTCCTTCCTTCCTTCCTTCCTCCCTCCCTCCCTCCCTCCCTCCCTCCCTTCCTTCCTCACTTCCTTCCTCAGGTCAGTTTTCAGCACCTGCCCCCTTAAGAGGCGCGTGTTCAGCCATGGAAATGGAAGACGAGACGGAGAAGATCAGCATTGGGACCGAAAGTCTACAGAGCAGCGAGACAACCGAAGAAGGAATTCCATCCAACAGGTGGCCGCATAAATGTGCCTCATACGTCCTGGCTCTCCGGCCCTGGAGCTTCAGTGCTTCCCTCACCCCGGTGGCTCTCGGGAGCGCCCTGGCTTACCGCTCCCAGGGTACTCTTGACCTGGGGCTTCTGATTGGCAGCGCCGTCACCGTCTTGGCAGTCCACGGAGCCGGCAACCTCGTGAACACATACTATGATTTTTCCAAAGGCATCGACCACAAGAAAAGTGACGACCGGACCCTGGTGGATCAAATCTTGGAGCCTCAGGATGTGGTCCGATTTGGGGTCTTCCTATACACTTTGGGTTGCATCTCGGCAGCATGCCTCTATTGCTTCTCCACCCTCAAATTGGAACACCTGGCCTTGATTTACTTCGGAGGACTCTCCAGCTCTTTTCTCTACACGGGAGGTAAGCAGGGCTTCTCTGTGTGGTCTCCCTTCCGCGCTGTGGAATACAGGAAGGGGGGAAAAAAAACAAAGCAAAACCCTGCATCCCATTAAAATGCTGCCCGTTTAAATGTTAGAGACCAGGCCCAGAAATGGAGTTATACGGCCTGCATGTCTGAATCAATTACACTTGGGAAAGAAACCTCCAACATTTGCCTTAACCTCCATGATGCTATCCTGCTTCCAGGAATAAAGAAGCAAATGGCAGTCAGGTTAGAAGGATGGATCCTGCCTCTGGTGTTTCACAGACCTCTCTCTGTGCTTTTTGTGAATACAAATATGGCTTGGACAGTTGCTAGATAGGGGTTGTTCTTCTAGATCTAGACTCACATCCAGTAGGGATTCTCCCTGCCTTCACTAGGGATGCGGTGGCTCAGTGGCTAAGATGCTGAGCTTGTCGATCGAAAGGTCTGGCAGTTCAGCAGTTTGAATCCTGAGCGCTGTGTCATGGGGTGAGTGCCCGTAACTTGTCCCAGCTTCTGCCAACCTAGCAGTTCGAAAGCACGTAAAAAAATGCAAGTAGAAAAAATAGGGACCACCTTTGGTGGGAAGGGAACAGCGTTCCGTGCGCCTTTGGCGTTGAGTCCTGCCGGCCACATGACCACGGAGACGTCTTCGGACAGCGCTGGCTCTTCGGCTTTCAAATGGAGATGAGCACCGCCCCCTAAAGTCAGGAACGACTAGCACATATGTGCAAGGGGAACCTTTACCTTTTACCTTCACTGGGGAAAATACTTCCCATCACCTCTTCCTGGAAATTCTTTAAACTGCAGGAGCCATTAATCCTGCAGGGAAAACATACCCAATAGCACTTAGACTTATATACCATTATATACCGTTTACAGAGTCAGCCTGTAAATCTGGGTCCTCATTTTACTGACCTCAGGAGGATGGCAGGCTGAGTCAATCTTGAACCAGCATTGAACCACTGGCAGTGGGCAGAGTTAGTCTGCAATACCGCCTTCTAACCACTGTGCCACCACGGCGCTCTAAGGCAGTGAATTGAATTTTCCTCAGTGGAAAGACCCTGGAGAAGGGAAGAATTGGAGTGGGGTAGTCTCAGATCCAGCAAGCATGTTCTTAAGTTACCCCAGGACTCTAGTCTTATACAGCTGTTTTTGGTAGAATATTAGGAGATTCTTCCTTAGCAGGAGCTGTTTTGTCAGTGTGGAATGGGCCAACTCGCCCAGGACAACTCAACAAATTAAAGTGAAATGAATTTCAATGGAACCGTGGCCAATAATAATAAAAGAAAGAAAGTCAATTCAGAAATACCAGAGTTAATTTCAACAAAAATGCGGTGGCCACTAATAAAAGTAACTGAACGAAATGATGAATACAGCATTGACTTGTCCTGTGGCGAGTTGGCCGTGGCATCCCCGGCCCTTTGTCCATGGAACCTTCTGCCTCAGGAGAAGTCAAGATCTCCTCTGCTGAATTTATTTTAATTTCTCCTCCTTGTCGTTACTGCAGGCATCGGATTTAAGTACGTTGCGCTGGGTGACGTGGTCATCCTGATCACCTTTGGGCCCCTGGCTGTGATGTTCGCCTATGCCCTCCAGGTGGGCTACCTGTCCATCTCGCCCTTGCTCTACGCCGTGCCCTTGGCCCTCAGCACGGAGGCCATCCTGCACAGCAACAACACCCGGGACATGGAGTCCGACCGGCAGGCGGGCATTGTCACACTGGCCATTCTCATCGGCCCCACGCTCTCTTACGTCCTCTACAGCAGTTTGCTGTTCCTGCCATACCTCATCTTCTGCGTCCTGGCTACCCGCTACACCGTCAGTATGGCTCTACCACTCCTCACCCTGCCCATGGCGTTTTCCTTAGAACGGCAGTTCCGGAGCCAAAGTTTCCTCAAAATCCCGCAAAGGACAGCCAAGCTCAACCTCCTGTTGGGACTTTTTTATGTCTTCGGCATCCTTCTGGCTCCCCCTGGCTCCCTCCCCAAACTCTAGTCTAGGGAGACGTCAGGTTCCCTGAAAATAAAAAGCTTTCACAGAATACACAAACACACACATATATATACATACATGTATATATATATATATATACATACATGTGTATATATATATATATGCATGTATATATACACACATGAGTTTATAATCTTCACCAAACCACATAAGATTGGGGTTTTTTTTCCTGATCCGCGAACGTCAGATTTCCTGAAATATTTCCTTTTCACAAAGGGAGAAATCATCTTTATAAAAGTCTCAGTTCTCTGAGTTTTGGTTCCTGCTTTTTGCCGTTGTTTCTTCTATCGTCTGCGTTTCATAAGTCGAAAGGTTCGCACTCCGAGTTAGAACTCCCCCCTCCCTCCAAGGCCACGTAATAAAATTCCCTTTTTAAAATAGATTTTTTTGGGGGGAGAAAAAAAAATGCACCAGCAAGAAAAAAAAATCAAAAGCACTAAAGCAAGTTAATCATTGCATCTAATGCCTTTTTTCCCCCAATGTCTACTTTCTGGTCTTAAAAGTTTCTATTGGAAGAGCTCTAGAGATTTCTTGTGGTATTCTAGGAAAAATGACTTTGGATCATTTCCCAGCTGTTCTCAGCACGGGAGGCTGAACCCGGTACCAGATAGTCTTTAGAGTTCAGGTGCTGACACCATCTTCTTTGAGTAAGAAATGCCTCACCTTACTAACACAACAGACCATGGAGTGATAACTATAAATTGTGCAATCGTTCACATCCTCTCTGAACATCGCTGTCCACGTTGGATTACAGCATCAATTTGCATATTCCCTCTGCCACCCATCATCACGTTGCTGGCAACAGAGTCCACGAGAAGAGTCAGATAAGATCTGGCAATCATCGTTTCCCAAGAGGCTCCCTTTGTCAACTTGCAAAGCTTTCAAACACCCTTGCTCAAACGCCAGTGGCCTGAACGAGAAGCTGAAGGGAGTCCAAATGTCCCATTTGGTGATAATTTTGAACAACGGGCATCGCATCCTTTGGGGAGGGAGATGTGCCCCCAAATGGACACAAAACCCAACCAGATTTCTTGGCCTTTCTCTGTCTCTTAATGACGAGAACAACGGTGCTTATCTGGATGGAGCTTTGTAATGCTTTGGGCTGGAGATAAGATGTACCATGGTTATACCGAAGCAAACAAACGTGTGGTCAGAGATGACTCCATTTCATGCAGGTGTTTCGATGAGCATTGAAGAGGTGCTGCTGGTTTATGGTGGCTTTGGATGGCGCCTCTCCAAGTGGCAGTATCAGGAGGATTTGAGACCAATTCATGGATACGGTTCATCCATACCGAGGTTTGGTACCCGCTAGACCCATGATGGCGAACCTATGGCACACTTGCCACAGGTGGCACCCGGAGCCATATTGGTGAGCACACAAGTTCAGCTCTGGCGTGCATGCACGCGCCGGCCAGCTGATTTTTGGGCCTTCCGGTCCCACTGGAAGTCAGCAAACGGGCCATTTCTGGCCTCCGGGGGGAAGGGGGGGAAAGCCGTTTTTGCCCGCCCCAGGCTCCTAGAAAGCCTCTGGATCCTGGGGAGGGCAAAAAACAGGCCTACCGGGCCCACTGTGCCGTCATGTGCCAAAAGCGTGGGGAGCGTGGGGGGCACATAGTATGGGTGTGCGCATGCGCACGACCCCCCCCCCGCACTCCCCCCACTTTTGGCACGCGATGGCAAAAAGGTTAGCCATCACTGCTCTATACTGAAGCACACTGGCATTTGAAAGGGATTCTCCAGATGCTTGCAGCTGGACACCAGAAACTTGAGCCTTGTTTGCTGTGGTTTTCAAGCAGGGGTGAAATGCTACCGGTTTGGACCGGTTCGGTTGAATTGGTAGTAAAAAAAATGCTACCGGTTCAAGCGAACCGGTATTTCCGATGATCAGCTATGACGTGCAATTTATATTAGCTAGAATCGTGGGATTTCCGGCTTTCTAGCTAATCTAAATCGCGTGGCACAGCGGATTCTCCCTTCCGTCACTGTTCTACTTACCTTTGCAGAATCGGAAGGTTTCAAAATGTTCCTTTTTTAACGCTGTGTGGGCACGCCTCAGGTAGCGGACTCACAGATCCGGTAGCTGAAGTCTAGGATTTCACCGCTGTTTTCAAGCTACCACTAGTTTCCCTGCTTCCCTCTTCGTGCTGGGCTTGTTCGCCCACCCTCATGCCTGTGATTTCACACAAGAATTGCCTCCCATTTCAGGGTCCTGAGTCAGGTTTCTGTCCCACCAGACCCTTGCCACCCAGATTCTAGCTTCCTTTCCAATTTGGGGTGGGTGGGCAAGGCAAGGCAGTTTTATGAGAATTGAATATGCATTCTGAAGATCTCGGAGAAGTAGGTGCTTGTTGGGTTGTCACCGTCAGGCACTGACCTCAGACAGTTGGCTGTCCATTGGCCACCAGACCAAAGTATACTTTACAGACAGCAGAAAAAATGTAGTCCTATTGCAGGATGTGAGAAAGAAAGGGAAGGAAGGAAGGAAGGAAAAAAAAAGTAAAGAAAGGGAGACAGAGAGAGAAAAGGAAAGAAAGAAAAAGAAAGAAAAAGCTGTTTTCCAGGCTCACATTCTCTTTGTGTAAATTTGCTCTGATTCAATTTGTGCCCTGTTTTTTTTCTCTACGCTGCCTGGAGTTTTTCTGAGGCTCCGTTCGCCGCAGCTGGTTTAATATGTCAAAATATCTCTTGTGTTTTTGCCCAGCCACCCTACGGAGGGCTGGCAGAAGAATAAAGCTGTCTTGGCAAATGCTAAGCCTCGCCGGAATCTCTGGAGCCTGATCTGGCCCCAGGACTTAACGCCGCACAAAGATTTAAAAAGAACATCTGGGACTTCCGCTCGAGCACTGTTTGTTTTTATTGACACCTCCATCATTTTCAATAATAAAAAAAATCCTGATTAACTTGTCTTTCCTTTTCATTGCTCGCTTAGATTTGGGGGAAACGGAAGCTTTTGTGTATCTTCAGCTTGCGCACACAGTGGCCGTGAGCAGCAAGGACGGTGCCAGTAACATCTGAAACATCAATGCTTGTTTCCAGTCGCAGGACATGAAAAACGAGCTGGCTTTGATCACACTGTCGTAGCCAACATCCCTGTCGGATACCTCCTGTTCCAATTTTAACTTTCCATCTTTCCAACCCCGAGTGGCTTTTTCTTCTTCTGCAGAGCCCCATCCCCCACCCCACAACAACCCAGCTCTGATTTTGTGCATCCTGAAGAGGGCAGCATTTTGCCACTCATGCCAATAAGGACACAGACAGGTTGAATATAAACTATTCAAAATTTTATAGATGGACGATCACCTAAGCCCTGAGCCTGCATGGAGCAGTTCAATGGCAGCGTCTCCAAATAGGATTTTTTTTTTTTAAAGAGAAGAGTAGATGTTTAAAGCTAAAATTTCCCCTTGCGCATATGTGCTAGTCGTTCCCGACTCTAGGGGGCAGTGCTCATCTCCATTTTACTGCCGAAGAGCTAGCACTGTCTGAAGACGTCTCCGTGGTCATGTGGCCGGCATGACTCAATGCCGAAGGCGCACGGAACGCTGTTACCTTCCCACCAAAGGTGGTCCCTATTTTTTCTACTTGCATTTTTTACCTGCTTTCGAACTGCTAGGTTGGCAGAAGCTGGGACAAGTCACGGGAGCTCACCCCGTGACACGGCACTAGGGATTCAAACCGCTGAGCTGCCGACCTTTCGATCTACAAGCTCAGCATCTTAGCCACTGAGCTTCCACATCCCTTTTTATGTTTATAGATGTTTACTGGACCACAATCTTTCCTTGGAATGAAGCATCTTATGATGCCTATGGAGACTCTCAGTCATCCAGATCATGGTTGTCCCAAAGACAACCATTTCTTTCAAGAGGCAATTGGACTTTCTGTTTTTTTTTTCTTTGAAGACATTTTGCTTCTCATCCAAGAAGCTTCTTCAGCTCTGACTGGATGGCAGGGGAGAATGGAAGGATTTATATTCCTTGCAGACAGCTGGTCATTTGCATCCTTTTAGATGGTCGTTGAGGCCACCTGGAGGTTTTATCTCTGTCCTCAGGGTCACCTGAGTGGTGCAAATGGGTGGGGAGCCTTCTTGGAACTGCTGAAAGGACTGTGTTGTAGACTGGGGATAGATGATGTGTCCTTCCCCCTCTGTTGAGAGAGGGCTGTTCAATTTGGACATACAGTGTTTCCCCGAAAATAAGACCCTGTCTTATATTTTTTTTTTGAACCCTGAAATAAGCGTTTGGCCTTATTGCCATGCGCTCAAAAGCCTGGTTGGGCTTATTATCAGGAGATGTCTTATTTTATTTATTACATGTATTTATATGCCGCCATTCTCCCGAAGGACTCAGGGCGGCGAACACAAGTTTAGAAACAAGTACAATAAAATCCCATTTTAAACCAAATAACTAATTAATAGTAAATAATAAAGCCCGGAATCAGAGTCAGCCTATTTGTTTGAATAGCCAAGTCTTCAGGTCCCGACGGAAGGAACGGAGATCAGGAGCCGTCCGGTTTTGATTTTGAGGGAAACAGGGTAGATGGCCTCTTTGTGCCCTCTTCCCAAGAAGTTCCAAGAAGGCGCCACAAAATTGGCAGTGCTACATGGCTCAGAACGGGAAGCCAGCAAGTCGGAGTGGTTTGAATACCCCTGTCTGCTCTGGATGAATTCATATCACTGTGATCTGACAGATTGCACCCCAGAGTTCTGAAGGAGCTGGCGGATGTGATCTTGGAACCATTGAACCATATCTTTCAAAGATCCTGGAGCACCGAGGGAACTACCAGAAGACTGGAAAAGAGCTGATGTGGTTCCCATCTTCAAAAAAAAAAAAAAGGGGGGGAACCAGATCCAGAAAACTACAGACCCACCAGCGCCAAGGTTCAGTTTTATGCCCAGTACTCTTCAAAATCTTCATAAAAGATCCGCATGGAACTTGACAGACTTGAATGCTGGGTCCTACTTAAAAGGAAAGTCAATGGTGAAGGTAGGCAAGAAAATCCAAATTACAGGTATGGATTAGGCAGGAAAAACCAAATTGCAGGTATGGATTAGGCAAGAAAATCCAAATTACAGGTATGGATTAGGCAAGAAAATCCAAATTACAGGTATGGATTAGGCGGGAAAAACCAAATTACAGGTCTAGATTTGGCAGGAAAAACCAAATGTACAGGTATAGATTAGGTGAAACTTGGCTCAATAGCAGTTACCGCAAGAGGGCTCTTGGAGCCCTAGTGGATAATCACTTAAATATGAGACAGCAGTGTGCAACAGCCCGCTCCAAAAAGCCAAGCTGCTTGGATGAGAAGCGAAAGATCTCCAAAGAAAAATGTATATATATAGAGAGAGAGTTGAGTTTTGCCCAGTTGTACGATCTTCCTTGCTACAGTTGTTAACTGAATCCCCGCAGTCGTTTTAAGTTAGGAACACGACTGTTAAGTGACTCTGCCTTCCCCCCCTTTGACTTTGCTTGTCAGAAGGCCACACACGAGATGACTGTCAGTTCTGGCACGCCTGGCGGCCCAGGGCTGCCATTCCAGCAGGGGAGGCTGCGACGGGCCAATGCAACCGCCGCCCGCCATCCGGGACTGACCTTCCGCCTCCTGCTTGGCTTCCTAATGGAACGACGGAACCGCAGCCGCGGCATCAACAGCTGAGATGCGGCGATGGCGGCAAACAGCTGAGAGGCGGCAAACAGCTGCGAGACCAACTGGGCAGCAGCCGTCTGCGCACAGGACGGTTCCGGGGTCACATGGGGGCGAGCCTGCGCGCGTGATAGGGCAGGGAGGCGAGAAGCATTCAAAAGGTGATGGGGAGCACTGGGTGGTTAACCCTGACTGATTTCATTGTTTTGCTGAAGCATTCCTTGTTAGTCAATTCGTGCCGGAGCAGAGATAAAACTCTACAAACCAGAACTGTCTTTCCTGACTTTCCGGAACCTGACAATGACGACGTGACTCCAGGATAGTACGACTGTCGTAAATATGAGTCAGTCATCAACCCTGGAGACGCTGCAGCGGTCGTAAGTGTGAAAAACGGTCATAAGTCACTTTTTAGTCCCGTTGGTGAACGGTCACAAAAAGCAACTGTTGTAAGTGGAGAACTAGCTGTAAAACCTGTAAAAGATTCGAATGGTCGCTAAACGAACTGTTGTAAGTGGAGGACTAGCTGTAAAAGATTCAAACAGGCACTAAAGGGCCTGTTGTAAGTCAAGGACTACCTGTAAAAAATTCAAGCGGTCACTAAATGAACTGTTCTAAGCCGAGGACTGGCTGTAAAAGATTCGGTCACTAAACGAACTGTTTTGTAAGTCAAGGACTACCTGCAAAAGGTAGTTTCTAAATCCCCATTTGGAGCACTCCAGTTAAGAATGCCTAGGTGGTAAGAGAAAGAGTAATAACATCAAGCCATCCACTTAAAAAAGCACACACACGCATGCACACAACAGCCCGGAGCCAGAATAAACTAATTTAAAGCACAGCAATTAATAAAATGCAATGAAACCAAAAAGTCTTCAGGCAGTTTGAAAACCCCAGTAGTAATTAGGATGTCGTGTGTCATTTCGGGGAGAAGAGGGGAAGCCGGGGTGCTGCGTTCAGAGGTAATTCCAGTGGGAACACGTTTTGGTGGCTCGAAGCACAGTTCCTGCCGTCTCCAGCTCTTCATTTCAATTTCAATTTTGTTTCGTTCCCTTTTATCTTCCCCTCGTTAAAAAGCCAATTGGGCGGGGCCCAGTAAATGGGAAGCGGCAGCTGCGGCTGTCCGTTGTGCTTGGGAGAAGAACTTGTCCGTCCGGTCATCGGGCGTGGGAAAGCCTCCAACGGCGTCTGGCAGAACGAGAAGGACAGGCAGCTCCAGAATATAACCAGACCGGTTATCTGGCTATCTTCACTGCTGCAACATTCCCATTGGTAGGAGGCCCAAAATTGTGATGCTATGTGCGGAAAGGCCTCGGACCGCACCTTGGCTGCTCACCAGGAGTGGGATTCAGCCGGTTCCGACCGGTTCGGGAAAACCGGATGTTAATTTTAATCTGGTTCGCCGAACTGGTTGTTCCAAAGACTGTTTGACCCTGCCCACATGGCTCGTTTTGGATGCGGGGTAAGTGCGGGGACCGCACGGAGGCTCTGGGAGTGTGAAAAATGGGCCTACCGGAAGTCCAGAAATGGGCACATTTCCAGCCTCCGGTGCCTGGGGAAGGCTGTCTTTGCCCTCCTGGAGGCTCGAGAAAAGCCTCCGGAGCCTCGGGAGGATGAAAACGCCCCCCCCCCCACGCCCACTCAGCAACCGGGCAGTGAACCAGTTGTTAAATTTTTCAATCCCACCACTGCCGCACACCTGTGGAAGGTGATGGGGAGAGGAACATCCAGAGATGAAAATGTCCATCCTTTAGGGACCTCTGGAGGGCGAGGAGGAGGAGGAGGTCCTTAGCGGTCTGTCTTAATTGTTTTCCTTGGTTTTCTTGTTTCACATTCCCTGGTGTAACCAGTTTCATGGCCTTCAGGTTTTTAATTCAGATGACTCTATACAGAAGAGCTCACTTAGTGACTCTTTTCAAAGAGTCAACGGCACTGTAAAAAGTGACTTGGGACCGTTTTTCACATGACTGTTGCAGCATCCCTATGGTCACGTCGCAGTGGTGGGATTCAGCCGGTTTGGGCCAGTTCTGGCAAACCGGTTGTTAAATTGCCTGCTGGCCCCTCCCCATCCCTTCCAGGAGTCCCTATGTGCCCCATTTTGGCTCCCAGGTAAGTGCAGGGAGGTCTACTAGGCCCAAAACGGGGGCGGGGGGCGGGAGTGTGTGGTGCAACACCCCCCCAAGGCCCGTTTTTGCTCCTAGGAGGCTGCAAGGAGGCCTACTAGGCCTAAAACGTGGAGCAGGTGTGTGTGGTGCAGCCCGTTTTTGCT